ATAGATAGATAGATAGATAGATAGATAGATAGATAGATAGATAGATAGATAGATAGATAGATAGTGAACAGACTGTGATAGATAGATAGATAGATAGATAGATATTTTACTACAAAATTATACCCATTAAAAAAATTCGATGAAATTCTCATTTTCAAAACAGCTTCTATGTCTAATATATATGACTAAATGAAAAAAAAATAATTGGATTTAATAAATACTGTACTCTTCTAGCGATTAATTGTAAACATAATTAATTACATAATAATGATCACCTTCATTGCATTTAAGTAATCAAACTCGTGCATAAAACGATCGACAATGTAATACATCACTTTAAAAGAACCAAGTAAAAAGAAATATATTAAATAAAATCTATTAAGACATTTAATAAATGAAAAGCCTCACGTCTATAAAGAAATCATAAAACCTTTTCAATTGAATTCCTTTTCGGTCAGGTGAATAACACTCAACATAATTTCAATCTGTTGATATTTTTTATTTTGTTTTATTTTTATTTTTTCAGGGATCAAGTAATGATTATCGACAAGTGTTTGTCGATTTTCAATTATTTTTAGGTGAGATTTTCATCACGAACTTTACATAAAGGCTAGAACCAGTATTTATTTATTTATTTTTTTATCTAAACAAGATTATTTTCCGAAAAAGTAACCGTTAAAGTGATAGGGGAAATCATTAAAATCTAGATTTTGAAAAGACTTCTTTTATTGATAATTGTTATGATAAGCGAAAAATAATAATAGAGATGATGGTAGGGAATATTGTTTTGTTTTATTTTACGGCATACAAACCTCTGTTGTTTATTTAATGCAGACAAGATTTTTATTGCTGGTATTAAAACCTATTTTTAGACTTTAATAGTGTTTTGAATTCAGTTTGGGGGTTAACTATTTGCCCAGAGCTGGGAGCCTAACAGGTGCTACCACCCCGGATCAGGGTGGACCTGAGAACACCAGGAATTAAGAGATGGTTCCACGCACCTCAAAATTTCCTGATCAGAGGCCTTACTGTTGGATGTAGTTTATCGTCATACCCAGGGTAGGGAAGAGATATTTGTAATGAAAACGACAAAATGATATTGATGACGCTTATGGCTATAATGATGATTATTATATTGAACGAATATAAAGATGATAAATTAATTTCACCGTTGTTAATAATAATAATAATAATAAATATTAGAGACCTCAGAAAAAGTGCCTCCTTAAGATCTTCAAAAAGCTATCGAAATACAAGGACCTTGAAATCGAAATCTCAAAAATGTGGATCATGGGAATATCAGCAATCCTTATTGTAGTTGGAACCCTCGAATTGGTTGGAAAAGATTCCAGATTAATTGAAGCGATTCGCAGAAGTCCATGCCTTAAAGAAATAGAAAAAATTGTTCTCACGAGTACAGCCACACTTTACAAAGGGCTTTATCTATGTAAAATATTTTTTTTTTATTGGTCAGTGGAAAAAGGTCATGATGTCATTTCTAACCTTAGGTCTCTGGGCGGGACCCGGAAAGAAATGTGTACACATCAGAAATCAAAGTAAACAAAATAATAATAATTATTATTATTATTATTATTATTATTATTATTATTATTATTATTATTGAATATCTTCAAATACCAATAATAGTATTAATAACGTATTTTGAGGATCTTCAAAAGAACTATCAAAATACAAGGATCTTGAAGCGGAAATCTCAAAATATCTAGCGCATGGGGACATCAATAATTCCAGTCGTAGTTGGAGCCTTCCGTTTGCCTGGAAAAGGTTCCGATAAATTCACTGATGGCATCCCTGTTAACCGTTGGCTTAAAGAAATACAAAAAAAATTGTACTTACAAGTACAGCTCACACCTTATGAAGGGCTTTATCTATGTAAAAATGTGTGTGGTTTTAGTTTGCCTCAGTTTTTTTGTTTTTTTTACAAAAAAATTCTTAGTGGAAAATATCATGATGTCATTTCTGACCTTAAGTCTCTTCCTGGGACTCGGAAGAAAATGAGTATACAACAGAAATCAAAAGAAGAAATAATAATAATAATAATAATAATAATAATAATAATAATAATAATAATAATAATGTTTTTTCTCTGCATACATTTCATCTGTTTGTTTTGCATCTTCTGGTGCAAAAATGTCTCTTGAAATCTCTGCTTGAGACATGTCGACAATTCGTACTACACAAAACAAAGACAAAAATAACACCAACAACGACAGTAGAAACAATAATAATAATAATAATGATAATAGAGGCATATGGTAACATCAACAATCCCTGTTGTAGTTGGAGCCCTAGGACTGGTTGGAAAAGATTGCAGTAGACTAATTGAAGGGATTTCTGGAAGTCCATGCCTAAAGGAGATACAAAAAATTGTTCTGACAAGTACAGCTCACACTTTACGAAGGGCTTTATCTATGTATTTTTTTTTTTTTGTCAGTGGAAAGTGTCATGATGCCATTTCTAACCTTAGGTCCCTGGGCGGGACCCGGAAAGAAATGTGTAAACGCCAAAAATCAAAGAAAATAATAATAATAATATTAATAGGAGCACTAGGAATGATTAAAAAGTCTGACCCCTTTATCCATCATCCTGTTAGTCTCCAACCGCTTTTTGCCAAAGTATTCGAGACTTTAATCAATACTGAAGTGGTTAAGCATTTTACTCCTCACGACCTACTCTCTGACAAACAATATGGATTCCCTTTTGCCAGGTCTACCGCTGACGTGCTAACGACCATCACTGAATATGTATATCAAGCTCTTAATAATAACGGTGAAGCTCGACTTGTGGCTCTAGATATCTTGAAGGCGTTTGATAGGGTTTGGAACATTGGTCCTCTATGTAACCTCCAATGCTACGGTATTACTGGAGGATTGTTTGATCTAATCCAATCTTTCCTATCAAATGAAGGTCGTTTTGAACGAGTTCGCTTTCCAGATCCTTTCAGACGAAATCGTGTGTCCCCCACAAGGCTCTATCCTGGGTCCTGATCTTCTTCAATTATCTTCCTGATGTCATCATTTCCCAAGTAGGCATTTATGTTGATGACACTACCATTTACTCCTATCTCAAACCATCAGAACCGACAAAGTTAACCTGGCCGCTACTTTTAAAAAGTAACTCCAATCTTTGGTTAACTGGGACAAGAAATGGCTCGTTAATTTTAATGCCTCCAAAAGAAAAGATGCGAGACTCATGAAGAGCAACACACTGTGCCCTCTTGACCTCACGTTTTCAACTGAATTGTAGCGAAATGACTACATTGTATCTACTACTGCAAGGAAATTTGGGTCACTATGTCGTACCAGAAGTTTTTTTCTCTCCTCAGAGTCCAATTTGCACATTTATAAATCTACCATTCGTTCGTGCATTGAATACCATTGCTATATCTGTTCAGGTGCTCCTGCTAGTCATCTCGAGGTTCTTGACAAACTCCAAAGAAGGATCTGCAATGTAATCGACACTGATTTGGCATCTGAACATCAGTCACTTTCTCACCGACGTGACGTGGCTTCTCTCTCTCTTTTCTACAAATATTTTCATTGTAATTGCTCTGACGAGCTTTTTATCCTAGTGCCCCAACGGCGTGCTACTAGATTGGAATCTGGGTCCCACCCTTTTGCTGTTGAATTAATTAAATGTAACCACTACTTCTACTCCAATAGCTTCTTTTCTCGCACTTACCACCTGTGGAACTCCCTTCCGTTTCCTTGATTCCCTGATAGCTACAACCTTCAAAGATTTAAATGCAATATCATTCGGTCTCCTTATAGTCAGTCTCTTATCTCACCATCACTTTCTGTAACCACCTGCGTACCAGTGGTAGTTCCGCCATGGTTGGGGTGAAACGATTAAAGAAATACAGAAAAAGTAGTTAAGAAAATCCCTACCTGAAATGCAAAAGATTCTGCTCATAAGACCTGCTCACATATCCCCACCCACAAAAAAAAAACAAAACAAAAAAAAAAAAACGAAAATGCTCAATAACTTTCTAAGGAAAGAAATTCTTCGCAACATGTTTCAGATAAAAATTTGGTAAAGAACTGTATCAAACAGCAAATCAAGAAGACTGGAAACAACAATAACAACAAACAAACAATAGCAATTGTGGTAATAAAATGAGCACATTACATCTACCTTCTCAAAGCCAACCGCCCAGATATTGTTATTAAAGACCACAAACAAAAAAAGTGCCTCCTTATTGATATGACAGTCCCTGCTGACTGCAATGTATCGTTGAAGATATTCAAAAAGCTGTCAAAATACAAAGACCTTGAAATAGAAATCTCAAAAATGTGGCATATGGGAACATCAACAATCCCTGTTGTAGTTGGAGCCCTAGGAATGGTTGGAAAAGATTGCAGTAGACTAATTGAGGGGATTCCTGGAAGACCATGCCTTAAGGAGATACAAAAAAATTGTTCTGACAAGTACAGCCCACACCTTACGAAGGGCTTTATCTATATAATATTTTTTTTTTTTTTGTCAGTGGAAAAGTGTCATGACGCCATTTCTAACCTTAGGTCCCTGGGCGGGACCCGGAAAGAAATGAGTAAACGCTAGAAATCAAAGAAAATAATAATAATAATAATAATAATAATAATGAAAACTACAGTAATGACGAAGACTACGGGTATATTACGGATGGTTCTGAAGATTTGAGGGCAGTTATTTTTACTCACTCTCCAACGATAACCAGCAGACATATAGTGTGAAAATTCAAATGCATGAAATGTAAATTAAAAAATTGAGATTTAAGAAGATTGCCACAAAACAAAAACAGAAAGAAAAAAACAAAGAATCGTAAAGGAGCAATAATTACTCACAGCAACAAAAGACAGGAAGTTATGGAGAGTCATGATCGAACAAATTCTGACACTAAGGTTAAGAGAGATAGAGAGAGTGAGAGAGAGAGTGAGAGAGAGAGAGAGAGACGTCACTAGATCTCTGATGAGAGACACTAGATACTACTTAAACGCCATGTATGTTCAAGATGTAGGCGATCATAACTCTTCACGCCTTTATTTTCTTTATTATTTTTTAATTCTTGGGAAAAAATATTATAGTGGTTTCTCGTGGCCTTTTCCAATCGTTTTGAATTCCGAATTGTCCTTCTAGACTAGATGCCGCCAACCCAATCCCATTATAACCAGGCATTTAATCCATAACGGGTAGAAAGAAGAAATGGAAATTAGTGAAAATCGAAAGTATCAGGCTCAGTCAGAATTTCGGTTCGTCGATTCTGTTTGCTGATAACCGCTACACTATCCGTACATACACGCCAAAAACTCAGTGAACATTAAATAATAATAATAATAATAACAATAATAATAATAATGTTAGTGGTGGTGGTGGTGGTGGTAGTGGCGCATTTTAATTAACCAGTTGAAAAAAAAGAGAATGAATGTGTGTATGGTTGGAGGTTCAAATAGAAAAAAAGACTCGTCCTCAAAATGATTTTCTTTTATAATTCCCCACACTTCTTGAATCATTATTTTGAATCTGACAGCAGAAATTTTCAGAAAATATGCCCCAAATAGGAAATATTTTTAAATGTCTTACTGTTACTTTATTTTTACTTATTCCTCCCGATCAAAAGCAACTAGCTTCTCATAGCATTATCTTCATCTCTCTCTCTCTCTCTCTCTCTCTCACTCTCTCTCTCTCATTCGCTCTTTCACTCTCGCTCCATATATATATATATATATATATATATATATATAGAGAGAGAGAGAGAGAGTTTTTTTGCATTCTCACAATCATAGTTTCGTAATTTTAAGCTAAGAAATTGTTTCTTTTCCAATTAAAATTGCAATTTTTATTTTTTTAATCTTTTATAGATTATGAGCGTGAATTAACCTGTGGATATTGCAGATATAGCAATTTACTACAGACTGATCGCTTGACAGAAGGACGTTTAATGTCAGTATCATCTTCACCATTTGAACCAGTGGCATATCTCAATGTTACTTATTACAATAATTAATTACTTATTAAAATAAAACTAACGGTATCTGTGAAGAGCCGTGATCGCCTGCATCCCGAAGGTATGATATAAAAAAATATGTACAAAGCAAAAAATTTAAGAAATACAAGAATAAAATTCTGGGTTTTTTAAAAAAAATTCTCCGATGTTTTGCTTTTTTCATCTAGTTTTCTTGTTTAACGGCATATAAGATGCACATTAAAATCAAAAACATGGGCAAAAATATCCCTGCGTCTTATAATGTGAAGTTGAGGCCTTCTGTGAGTAAATTCTATTTCAAACATTCCCGACCATAGTCTATAATTTTACCTCATACGGTCACTTCTACTTAACCCAAATCCATATTATTATTATTATTATTATTATTATTATTATTATTATTATTATTATTATCATCATCATCATTTCTGCACAGTTTTTTCACTTTCAACCAGATATCTTGCATTATATGTGTTCTCCATCAAGTCGAATGACCTCGAACAAATAACACCTTTTTGCAGAATATTTTGCAGTGCCAAGCAGCGCAGATTTTTGAAGTCCCAAAGATAAGTAGGCTTGGAGAATTAGACGCACACGGGGTATATTGAAGACAAAAGAGACAGAGGGAAACAGCAAGTAATCTACCTAACAAGCATGTATAAATTGATGTCAGAATAGGGAGTGACAGGGAAAGTAAACAGATAAACCTTATTAAGAGCTACACATAATAGGAAGTTGTGGAGAGCCATGATCGACATATATAAGAAAAATGTTTTCTGTTACAGCTGAAGTGTTTGTTTTTTTTATGTCTGTAATGTACTGATAGCGTAAAACATTAGTTGCTTAAATACAATAAAACCTTTTATGCCCGAAATAGGGGAGGGCATCTAATACGCCTCTGCTACTTTTATGCTGTAAAATACTGTAAGCTATTTATTATATTTATACAGTGTAACCCGGATATAAGAGACCCGGATATAAGAGAAACCCGGATATAAGAGCGATTTTCTCTGGTCCCAAATTAGAGCCTGTGTTAATGTATATAAAATAGACCAAACCCGGATATAAGAGAAACCCGGATATAAGAGACTTCTTCTCCGGTCCCGACAACCCTCTTATATCCGGGTTACACTGTATAATTGAAAAGTAATCTGTTAAAAATATCTATATTTATTGCTAAAAGGAATTTAATTTTACCTAAATTCGAATTGCTGCCCATAGGGGATGTACAACTATTTTAGCCATGAAACTTATTGTTTTACTTTGACAATCAAAAAACTTAAATGGATCCAGAATATTACGAATTTTAACTCGTTTGCTAAACTCTTGTTTTATATGACAAGAGATTTATTCTTTGTTCGGCGTCTAATCTAACAAGAAAACATATGATAGCAACTAAGGTAGTAGCAGTGGGCGTTACTTCTACCATAGCTCGGCGCCACCCATCCCAATTTCTGTTTAATTCTTCTCCCCGCCCAATAGCTGCTTTACTTTTCACCTTCATTACTTTATCACTTTCAAGAATACAGATTCGTTACGCCTCACTTGATAAATTGAGTTAATACTCAGACTTGAAGATATTTAATACGAAAGAGAGAAAAAAAATGCTAAGTACGCTTTCCCCCGCAGCTTGTAATAATGAGTATTTCACAACATATCTCTCGCCTGTAGAACATCAGAAAAAATTAAACTCGCTCCGCTAGCATTCAGTAATTATATTCATTATTACCGATATGGAAAACCAAAGACAGAAGACGAATGAGCACACAATGTTGAAAATAACAAGTGGCGAGGGATGCGCTAGTGTCAACAACATGTAGATCACAACAAAATATTTACAAAAGCATATTTCTTCCCAATGCATTTCATCAAACCAACGATTTTATTAGAATTGTAGACGTGTTATGAAGTACAGGCAATGATTTGCGTGTATTAGGAAACCTGTATGTTACTATACGAATTTAGACAATTTCAGCCTTCCATATATATGCGCATGGAGAAGAGGCTGTGTAGAGAGAAAAAGTATTTATTGGAATTTACTTTTGGTACAAATCAACCAAGTCAGGTTAAGAAATAATGAGTTGTGAGATCAACTTTCTAACCGTTACCGCAGTTTGGAATCGCAATAACTTATTTATAACCAATTTAACTCGTTATTATTTTCTTTCAAGACATTTAGACTATATTTTTCTTTGTTCTCTGTTACTTCAAGTTGTTGGCGACCACGGTTCTGTCTCTTTGTTTCTGTCTCTTTGTTTCTGTCGCTTTGTTTCTGTTCAATTTAGCCAGTGCAGATTCCACTTCAGATATTTGCAGTTTTTCGATAATTCTGTGTATTGACGGTTGTTCTCTTTCGTCGTGAAAGAGTTCACTGATATATTCGTTCCATCTCTGGAGTACTTTTTCTTTCTCTAATTGGACTTCTCATCTTAGAGCAGTAGTTAGTAAGTTGGTCTGGTAGGCTATTGTTAATTCAGTCCACACAGGATATCCTACTCTACGCCAAGCTTAGTAAATATCTATCGGCTTAGTTTGTCCCTAAGTTAATTTTATATTTCTTTCTAGTACCAATGAGTTCGTTATTAAAGCATAAGAAGCCAAAATGCCAAATACTGAATTTTTAAGATACTTAGATTGTCATCATTTTAAAGATTAATAAAAAATATTGCCAGTCTTAGTAAAGACTTTATCTCCCAGATTATTATTATTATTATTATTATTATTACGGCATAGAGATCAGCTGTTATTGTTACCACACAAGCCTGGCATTGTGCCGCATTAAGTTACGTTTGACGTAGTTTCGCATTCCCTCTTGTGCCTCTCAAAAAGCCAGCATTTTAAATGCTGATTTTCAAAGCAACTAACTGCTACGGTGTGATTTTTTTTGTTTGTTTGTTTGTTTTATTTTTTTTCCTGGGTCTTCTTACTCTGATAGTGAATTGGATAGCGATCCAAAACAATTCGTAGATGACGATAAAGGATGTGAACGCAATGATTTTACTGAAACGGCTGAAACATATTTCGCCGATATAACGTAGCATAAAAAATATCTCAATTTGAAATGATTAATATTTTAATCCGCTGATATCAAATTTTCCATTTATTTTCTCAGCAGTTGGCCTTCTCGACTAAGTTAAGTTTAAAAAATATTAAATGAGCGTCTCTAAAGTAGGACACATCTATGAATGGGTATCGTTGGCTCAATTATTGGCGGTCCTAGAGTACGGTTCTAAAAAGGAGTCCACCTGGGGTGGCGAGTTTTTGGAGACAGCATTTAAGTGAATTAGTATATTGAAGTAACAAGAAATTGCACAGCAAAATTAGGCCGAAAGTATGGCAAGAAAATTTCATTAAAGACACTGGAAAAAACGAATGCAATATTTATACTCAGATTGATATCAGAAAGAGCAATACATATGCAATAGAATGTATACCTATGTTTTATAGCTTATGCAAAAGCGTTTGATAAGATACGCCACAGAGAAATATTGGCACTGCTACGAAAGCTTGATATATTTGGGAAGTATATTAGAATAATCCAGAATTTATACAGGGAGCAATTCAGTAAATACGCGAAAACAGAAAGGGACATACAACAAGGATGTGTCTTTTCATCAGATGTATTCAATATATACAGGGAACCAATCCTGAGAGAATTAGAAGTCCTAGCAGGATTCATAATTGAAAGTTACATTCTTAACAACATAAGATATGCGGATGACACAGTGATGATAGCAGACACAAAATGTAAACAACAGGAACTACGGAAGGTCGTAAAGGAAATCGAGAAGAAAAGACGAGACATCAATTGTAAGAAGACAGAATGTATGGTCGTCAGCACAACATACGAATTACAAATTGGAGATAACAACATAAAACAAGTACAAAAATTTAAATACCTAGGAAGTGTTTTGGCAGAGGATGGAAAATGTGACACTGAAATCCAACGGTCTATTGAAATAGCGAAAGATGCCTTCCAAAAGCTTAGGAAAGTATCAAGAAACAGGAAAATTTCGTTAGAAACAAGGATAAGAGTATTCCACTGTTATATAATATCGGTCTTCCTATATGGCAATAAATTTCTGGACAATCTCCTCATCACAGATGAAGAAGAGACTTGAAGCAACAGAAATTTAGTTCTATAGAATGATGCTAAGAATACCATAGACTGAACATGTGAGCAATAAAGAAGTTTTAGAGAAAATGAAAGTAAAAGGGACACTTATGCTTAGCAACAGAAAATGACATGAAGTTTTAGGGCACATGATGAGGAAAGAATACCATAGACTGAACATGTGAGCAATAAAGATGTTTTAGAGAAAATGAAAGTAAAAGGGACACTTATGCTTAGCAACAGAAAGTGACATGAAGTTTTAGGGTACATAATGAGGAAAGAGGGCTTGGAAAATTTGACACTCACTGATGACAAGAGAGATAGAGGAAAACAGCACATAACCTACCTAAGGAGCTTGTGTAAATGGTTGGAAAACAGGTATTAGGGGAAATACCAAAAAGACATATTATTAAGAGCTACAAAGGACAGGAAATTGTAGAGAGCCATGATCGCTTACGTCCTGGAAGGACACGGCATATAGAAGAAGGAGAGTTTTTACTCATAGCTAGCGAAGGAAGGGATGAATTCATAACTTTCCCAGTTATGTATTATCAGATAACCGCGAGAAAGAAAGAAATATGTATAATAAAATATATACTTATTATTTTGAAAAAGACCACACCTTTTACTCCAATGTATTAATTCCTTTAGTATTAATTATTCATTTTGTATTCAAAGTACATTTTAAAGAAGAAATTCTTCTTTTAATGTACAGAAGTAATTTATTTTCATAATTTAAATCAGGATATTTGCTTTTCATTCGTTTTCGAATTGGAAATTGTTTTTCGTATTATTAACTAATAATAATTAAAAAATATATATACTTATTACTTTGAAAAAAAAAACTTCGCCTGTTTTAAGCTATTATTCCAACTTTTCACGCAATATGTTAACTGTGAAGCCCAGTGGCACAATAAACTTTCTGGCAGTGAATTAGATAGCAATCCAAAACAATTCATAGACGATAATAAAGCCTGTGAAAGCAATGATTTTACTGCAACGTCAGATACATATTTCGCCGATATAACGCTGCATAAAAACACATCGATTTGAAATGTTTAATATTTTAATCCGCATCAACCTGATATTAATATTTAAACTTTTCACGAAATACGCTACCAGATGTTGAGTGCTGACACTTACGCTGGCAAAAGTGTCACCACTCAGCCTTGTTGACACTCTTGTCCCATTATAGTTAACCCAAAGTGGTCATATGCGTTATTTGCTATTCCAATAGCCTCGATATCTTTAGTTGACCTATACACGTGTGATATTATGAATTACTGATTTCTTGGACCCAAATCAAAGTTGAACTATTTAAAATAACACTTCTCTCTTACAGCGTCAATTATTTTATTGTTTTTTGTAGCTATATTGAAAAAGTTAAATTATGAAATGACAAAAATAATACTTACTTATTAAAACGTTTGTTGGTACGTTCTCTTGTATTGAAATAGCTAAAGGCTACATCTGATGTTAAGACATTTAACATTGACGCCTTCAGTTGTAGTATATTTATCTAAAAGTCATAGTAATGTTAGCCGTTTCCTTATAAGGAAACATTCGATATCCATTGAACGAGCAGCCAGTGATGTGGTCGGTTGGAATTCAGAAAATCTTTCTATTAAAACTGTTTCTCATAAAAAAAAAACGTTAAATAGCAACTAGTATCAATTTTTTTTAGTATTAATGGCAGTTGCCCTTCAAAGGTTTTGTTTGAAGTAGTGTGGGACGTCAACATTTTCGTAATGTCATTATTTTCTCTTCGAGTTACATGTGCTACACATGTTGTTGTCTCTGTTATTTGGTACACTTCTTTGTGATACTGTAGCGCCAGGCCAGGAGGTTCAAAGCCCTTGCTAAGACATACATGCTTCATTCGCACGAAGCCATTTTTAACCACTGATCCAGATATCCCATATGGTGGATTGTGTTTGAATAAATATAGTAAATAACTTTGTTTCGTGGTTGAGACATTTGCAGATTTTTCCATTGACACCATTGTTTGAGCCAGGTAAAAAATAAAAAAAAGTTAATTGCTGATTTCATAAGGCAGCTTAGCTCAGCACAAACTTTCTAACTCCCTTCCTGACCACCAAATTTGGCAAAATTCTAGGTTAAGCTATACTTTCGTCTTTTATATGTCGGGGGCGAGTAAGGTTCTCTACAATTTTCTGTCTTTGTAGCTCTAAGTAACTTTTGATGCTTCATGATCCCTGCTATCGATTCACATAAATTCGTTAAGTAGTTATTGCTACCCCCCCATCCCGCACAGTTCCTCTTACCTTCATTATGTGAATATTAAATTCCCTATTCCCTCTTCGTTCATTATATATAACTAGCAGCATGGCCCGGCGTTGCCCGTGCTTGATTCAAAAATCAACAATCGCTATCACTTGACTTAAAATATTTTTGCCCTTCCTTGCCTTTAAAGGAGTGCCCTTTGCCGTGCTGATGTTGCTACGCGCCTTACTTCTTGCCTGTCTCACACTGCAAATTTTGTCTAAGCTCTATACTAAACATTAAATCTGTTACGAAAAAAGAACTAAACAAAATGAACACAAAACGATCAGCTTTAAAGGACTCGTAACTGGAAAAACCGAATGAAAAAAGAATGTTAATAACAAATACTTTTTCACACTCAACCCAGTTCTGCGGAATCAGAATCAACGTTGAGTTTAAGCAAGCGAATAAGCCAATTGGAGTAAAGTGCCATGCAGATTTAAATTTTTCCCACTTGTGACAAATGCAGCTATCGATTTTTTTTTTTTTTTTTTTGCATACTAGCATGCTAGTTAACATTCGTGTCGGTCAGCCGGCCAATAGAATCTTCCTGCCTATTCGTGGCAGCCAGCTATAGGCTCTCACTCTGGCCATTACAAAATGGCCGCACACTACATGAAAACTGCATGAAAAAATCGATTATTTCCACTATCGATGGGAGTTGGGAAATGCAAAGTCGACCTTGGCCTTCCCGCTAAATTTTGGTGCAAATCCGTCGAAAATTGCGGTCGTGCATTCGTTACACACACACACACACACACACGCACACACATCCTGCCTTTTATAGATAGAGATTTCAACTGTCTCTTCCTGATTGTATGTATAAATGCCCTTGTCGTTCCTCTTTGCTCACATTCTTTGTCCATGGCATTCGTAGCCTCCGTCAGTAGAACCACATCTAACGCTTTAAATTTCATCATCTGTGAAGATATTGTGCAGCATTCACTACTATATAGAAGATTAGGTATTACATACCTTTTTGTTATTGACGATATTTTGCAATATGCGTGTGGTGTAATGGATAGCGACATAAGATACAAAATTGGAGAACCGAATTCCAGTAAGCTTCGTTAAATTAACTTACACGCAAACACCCTTGGGAATAAATCCATCCGCACCTGACGGGTTAAGGACATATATTTTCACAAAAATCTTTGTTATTCTTAAAACATTTGTCGATACATTATTTACTTGCAAAAATAAGAATAATTCTTACAATTCAAAATATGCTTCAGCTTTAAATAACATACACACGGTGTATAAGACGTAAAAAACAAATCAATAAATCTTATGTCTTAATACTTTGCTTAGTATCTTTTCTTTCGAGTTTTGGAGATGTTTTATAAATTGATTGGTTGATTGGTCTTTTTTTTACGGCTGATTATCCATGTGTAAGTTTTTTAAAGCCGAAATATATTTTTGCAATGCAATAATTTTTTTTTTTTGGCGAGTAAATATTGTATTAGCAATTTCTTTTTTTTAGATAATAATGCCCTATTTGACCCATGGGTGGGGAGAGGAGAGGTGTATTCATAGATTTTCCAAGGGCATTTGCGTTTAAATAAATGTATGAACACAATTGAAATTCGAGCACATCCAAGCTTACAGTCCCTGGTTTTTCCAAGTGGTCACACATCTAGGTACTAACCAGATACAACGTTGCTTTACTTCAGTAATAGGATGAGAACCGGTGTTTCAACGGGATACGGCCTTAAACCCACTTATGTAATAATAATAATAATAATAATAATAATAATAATAAAATCTGCAAGAAACTGGTATGGACATCAAACAGACCCAGTTATAGAGACAGAACCTGTAACAATTTTATGGAACTTTACAATACACAGAGACAGAACAATCAAAGCTAATCCTCCAGACGTCGTGTTAAAAGATCACCGAAACAGAATATGTTTTCTTATTGACGTGAGCGTCCATGTAGATTGTAATGTATTGTTGAATATCTTCAAAAAAGGATCAAAATACAAGGATTTTGAAGTGGAAATCTAAAACAAATGTGACAAATGAAGGCATCAGTTATTCAAGTCGTAGCTGTAATCCTCAGATTGACTGGAAAAGCTTCCGATAGACTCATTGAAGGGATTCCTGGCAGCTCATGCCCTTAAAGAATTTTTTTCTTAAATTGTACTCACGGTAGGAAGAGTTTTATCTATGTAAAATGTGTGTGATTGTAGGTTTATTTTTTGCAAAGATGATCACAGGAAAATGTCATGAAGCTATTTCTGACCTTCTGGTCGGGACCCGGAAAGAATTGAGTATACACCCGAAATCAAAAGAAATAAAAATAATATTAATATGACAATTGGAAATTACAGGCTAGTGTGATCTGAAGAATCTTCCTTAAAACTGACTCAAATCTAAAACCTGCATGGTTGCCATTCGTGTTTGTGATTGCCTCTAAGCATTCAGTGAGTTGGAAAGGGCGAACGCAATAGACGATTAAACTGATTGGTCGTTGATTGCTATTTCATAGAACAGAACGCTACTTGTCCCTCGTGTAACAGTTCTGAAAGACTAATTCTTTGATGATCGAGGCTCATCTTATCTCTCTTGTGACCAGACGATGAGGAAAATGAAACTACAAAAACGAGAGAGTCAGGTGACAGGCGGAGAGTAAGGGTAGGTTGGGGTTGGATGACAGAGGCCAATTTGAGGGATCATTGCTGAAAACAGGCGTGATCAATCAACACTATGTTCACTTGTCAACGAATACATCCGCATGTGCGTGCGTGTGTCTGTATGTGTGTGTGTATAACCGTGTAGCAAAAAAAAAACAAAGTAGATAAATATACATGCCCTATATTTTTAACAAATAACAATGAGTGTGTACATATGAAGAGGGTAGATTTAAACGTGCAACTTCTTTTTTGAAAATTGCATGTTTGTATATTTAAAAAGAACAAAAAGTAAGTGCTTGTTTTGTGAAGAATGTCGTAAAATCGGAGAGCCGATTTCAAATTCCAACCTAGTCTGTTACGATAACTTCTCTTCCCACCCATAACTGGGTGGGAAGATAACAATTTATGGGTTAAGGAACAGAGTAGATTAGGCTCTCACGTTTTGGATGGTAACCATTCTAAGAGAAGGAAAACTATAGTGAAGGGAACGGGATGTCAGTTCACATATAAGAAAGCAATCAGTGTAGAGTTATGATAACTTTCACCCTAAAAATATTTTTTTTTAAATATTTTAAGCAAAATCCCTTAAGACGGTGTTTACCCACACGACATAATAAAGGCAAGGGGGACAGAGAAAAGCAGCACATGACATACATAAAGAGATTATGTAAATGGTTAGTTGAACAGGTTTTAATAGGGATAGCAAAAAGACAAAAAGCTACAGAGGATAAAAAGTTGTGGAACAGCAATGATCAGAGTTACGTCCTGGAGGCACTAGGGTACATAGAAGAAGACGTAGTAGAAAAAAAGAAGACAGCGCTTATATAAACGGGTGAGATGTGTATTTCACTCTGGGATAATGGTCAGTGACATAACATAGAAAACCAATATTACGGTGTATGAAGTTCAATCCTCACTGAGTGTTCCATACTTGTAGGTTTATCTTAGACTAATGTAATAGCTATGGGTGCATATGTGAGTGCGTGTTCTAACGTTCATGTGTGTCAAAATGTATATGGTAAACTAGGTTGTTCCAGGTAATAAAATCGCTACAGCTGACCTGCCTCGAAAATCAAAATTCTAGTAATTAACTGAACCCAAACTAGTGACGACTTAAACGTCTCATTCCCCAAGCATTTATCTCCCTCCCCCACTCTATCTCTCTCTATCTATCTCTCTCTCTCTCTCTCTCTCTATATATATATATATATATATATATATATATATATAAAATAAATAAAAGTGAACATAGAAGTCAACACTCTGTTTCATACTCTATGCAATCGTCTGCCTGACGATTGCATAGAGCATGAAACAGACTGTCGCCTCTAAGCCTGACTTCTATGTTCACTTTTATATTTACACACTCTGTCTCTGATATTGAACACTTTATCCCATAAATATAGCACACCTTAGGACTATATTTCTTCATATATATATATATATATATATATATATATATATATATATAAACTTAGAATTAACGGTCCCAGAATCGACGGGCTCCGAATTTTATGTACAACATATGTAGCGAGGAAAGTTCCTTAGTTCCAGAAATGGCTGCCTGCTGTTTACTGGAGCAATCAACAGACAGAGACTGGTAGTTTCGGGAATAGTCGCTGTTGTTTAATTGAGCGCTCATTGTGTACACACATGCATCGTCTCTCGAACATTTTATACTGATTTTTAGACAATCACAGCAATATTTAAAGGTAAGTTTAAGTAAACTTTTCAAACTCTATATGTAATTAAAATTAAAAAATACACATACATATATACTGTATTTACATTTATTTTACAATAATTTCGTACTGTACTGGATGTTTTTAGGCCACGAATAAAAGTGCTTCAAATTACCGGACAAACGACTGTAACGGACGACCCACCCACTAAAATTGAAGTCCCACTGTATATATATATATATATATATATATATATATATATATATATATATATATATATATATAATATATAATATACTCTTAAGGTGTGCTATATTCATGAATATATATATATATATATCGTTATTTATGCATGTATGCATATTTTGATGTGAATATTTTTCTTTGCGTGTATCGTGAAGCATAAATGGATATTAATGTGCATGCATGTAGTCTCAGTTATATGTATTTTATTTATTTTTATTTTTTTGCTTTCTTTTGTCTTTTGCTTTCCCTCGCCACAACTGAAGTCAACCTCCAGGAGAGAGTAAAGCATTACTCCTTCTCAACCTAACGTTTTCAGTTGACATGAAGGGGAAAGATTATAATCATTATATTGAATCAATTCCTATGTCCGCTGCTAGGAAAATTGGTTCATTGTATCGTACTAGACATTTTTGTCTCGCTAGAAATCTATCTTATACATTTGTAAGTCAACCAATCGTCCATACATTGAATATTGCTGTCATATCTGGTTTGACGCTTTTGCGAAGTATTTAAAGATTTTTGATAAATTCCAAAGAAGTATCTGCAATGTCGGTAATCCAGATTTGACATTTTGGCATCAGTCACTTTCCTATCGCCGTAACGTAGCCTCCCTGTGCCTTTTCTGCAAATATTTTCACGGTAATTATCCTGATGATCTTCACACTTTGATACTTCGACTTTACGAATTTAAGCAGCTCGGTCTCATCTTTCTACAAATGAAATTGCTCGATGTAACCGCATGTTCTATGCAAAATCGTTCTTCTTTCGCACTTCCCGCTTGTGGAACTCTCTTCCGGTTTCTAGCATTCTTGTCAACTTTGATCTTCAACAATTTAAATGCAATGGCAATCGTTATCTTGCCTTTTTAACACCTGTTCTTTTATTATTCTCATCCCTTAATAATGTATTTCCTTCTTTCATATTCTTTTACACTCAGTAGCTTCTTAGTGCCTTTATTGCCTTGTTTGGGGTAAAATGATTTAAAATATATATGTATTGCCCAGTATCCGTGGTGAATATAGAAGTGCATATTTTAGGCTTACGACAGCGTGCAAGTGTCATATATGGAGACCATGTTAGATGTGCACGTTCATGTGTGCGTGTGCGCACGCGCGTGCGTGTGTGTGTATGCGTGTGTACGTTTGATTACCCGAATAATGGATTGTAAGTTACTAATGAGAATGAATACTTTCCTGCGCAAATTCTTAATTGTCCGAGTCTTTCATGGCTTGAACGTATGCCTGCGCTATCTGAATGGATTATATGATCTCGTGTTTGTATAACTCCATATATATAAGCCATAAAAAACATCAGATTAATTGGTGCAGCAATAGATAGATAGATAGATAGATAGATAGATAGATAGATCCATTGAAACAATTCGCTAACTTGGTAAGTTCGATCCTCACTTGAAACCAACCTATCGTGGACATATTAAGTCAAGCTCATCGGAGTAAATATAAGGAGATTACTGTAGAACAGTGATTAACCAGATTCATCTCACATGCTCTTTGTTACTATGGTTACATTCTGTGTGCTCCACTATTGTTGCCTTGTGACAGATTAGGCTTAGCCGAGTTTTACCTCAGTTTGTTGTTAACCATCTAATTCTATAACTGTGTGGTCATTTGTTAACCTGTCTCTGCTTATTCATATCTATCGTACGAATATATGTGAATATATGCATGCACCTTCCTATACGACTATGTATGCAAATGTTATTGTCGGTTTATGTGTCTTTCTAACTCTGTTAACACGTACTTGTCGTCTAATTATATCTCATGTGTGAGTGTCTACGTATAAGCGTATAATGTTGTGCATACACGTAAGCGTGAATCTATCAGTGTGTCCTTACCAGCACGCACAATTTCATCTGGCTATGTTGACGACATAACGTAGGTATATGGTTGGTGACTGTTTGCACAGTGAACTCATTAACAACACTGGGTCCCTGATTATTCCCTTTGGTGGCCCATCGCCAACCATGCGTACGTCGTCTTCAAGGGCGCGTACAAACAATGTTTTACGCCAGAATCAACGCGCAATTCCGTCACGGACCACTGCACACACCAAGCTATTATATATCTGTCTGCAAAATGAATTGGACCAGTTAGTGCAGCGCACGTAAAACAACTAAAAAAAATTAGTAAATAAAAACAAAAAATGTGATAAATTAAAAAAAAAAAACTGTACTGTAAAGGAAAGCAAGGAAGTAAAGAAGAGCAATAATGTAAGGGAGAGCAAGGGTATAAGGGAGAGCAAAGAAGTAAAGGAGAGCGAGGATATAAGTGAGATTATAAGGGTACGCAAGGCACTAAAAGAGAGCAATGATGTAATAGAGAACAAGGCAGTAAAGGAGAGCAAGGTTGTAAAGGAGATCAAGGCTGTAAAGGGGAGCAACGATGAAAGCGAGAGCGAGGACGTGAGTGAGTAAAACTAAGGTAAATCTACGAAAAAAAAAGGCACTGAAATGAGAAAGTCAGCAGCAGTGACAATAATCACAGCAGCCGTGCCTCGAAAATATATGTATACATATGATATACGATTAATCGGACATGTATGTTTCTATGGGAACAGGTTTCTTGAGTAATTCATTTTCTTTTCTTTTATAAAGGGCAGCAAGTATCATATGTGATTTGGGGATGAATTCAACAAAGTGAAAGTAACGAAAAAAGGATACTTGCCACATTTTGAATAGACACACGCATACAAAAATATGTATGCATGCATACATGTGTGTGTGTATGTAGCTAGTTAGGATCTCTTCAAATGGGCAGAAGTATTTGTCGTGTTATTTCCCTACTTAAGTAGTTCTGCCCCTTACCAATGAATACTCACGTTAAAAAGTCTAGTCGATAGATTAGAGGAAATGTGCCGGGAAATGTTTGCGATATCAATAGAAAGGAAAGACGAAATATTTTATTGCATTAGCAGCTATTTTGTTTTACGGGGTGAGGACATGTATTAAACAGTTATATCTTTATACTTTTAATGAGTTTCGCGTCTTGAGAATAAATTAATTCCGTCTGCTTTCCGTTATTGCGATCTCCACTTAATATTTATTTTAGAAAAATACAGGAAATGCCCCTCCTCCTCCTCATCATCATCATCACCATCATCATCAATTCTGGTTGTATTTATTATTTATGATTGTCCGAATCACTATTATCTATTCTTTTTTTATTTTCTTCATTTGTTTGTAGTATCAAGGAATAGGTACAAAAATACTTAATTGAAAAAACTCTTTCTGTCAGAACAAATGTGAAAAATTCGTCCGAAAATTCTTATATATACCTATAAATATATGAATATATTGTGTGTATGTGTGTGTGTAAGAATAATTATAAATATGCATAAATACACGTACGCATACGCACACGCGCACACGCACGCACGCACGCACGCACGCACACATACTTGATTAGTTTTCAAATCTCATATATATGAATTCATCCAAAATAAAAATTGCCGATTTCTCGTTCCGAGACGCGAAACTATTACACCACCTGCTCATCATCCATAAATATATAAATACATAAAACAGATATCTTAATTGCCAGCAATACCCGTGCCGAATTGTTATATATATATATATATATATATATATATATATATATATATATATATATATATATATATATATATATATATATATATATATATATATATATATATGTACGCATACGTGTTAAAATAAAAAATGTTCTTTTTGTATGAATGGGAAGCATTTTATCTAGCACGGATCTTTTTTCTAATAATCGTAAAGTTAACTCAATAGACCAACAATAAAACCACGATAACTTCAGAGACACTTCTATGACTTCCCTCACATAAAACAAAATTTGACGCAAGTAACTTTTGCATTGTCTCATACGTTTTGTCAACAGATATACTTACCATGTTTTGGATAACAAGGACCAGACACCATTTGGTTAGTCGTACAGACTGGGCTGTATCTTTGAGCTGACTTTAGTTTTAAAGACTCCTGATGTGTAACTCCTGAAATTTACAAATAAAATTTAAAAATAAGATAATGTGTCTACATTTATTCATAAATTGTTTATATTTTTTAAACATTTGTTCAGGTTTTAAACGATATAAAATATTGACGACTATTAATATTGATAATTACAGGTTTTAATTTCAAAGCAATGATTAATTATAATATTCTCCCACGAAATCGTTAAAATATACATTTATAATGTCTAATATTTCTTGATAGCTTAAATCCCTAAATATACGAAAGCATGATAAATATTATTCTTCACGAGCGCTGATATCAAGGGTAGGATACCTCAAGACTTTCATTCAATATCTTAATTATATAAAATGAATTACTTCAAAATTAGAGAGAGCAGTACACTGATTCTTTCACACAATTGTAGAAATGAGCTCATCAGGATGACGTATATGCGACGTAATAGCTAAAGACTTAATGTCACTGCGTCAGTGTATCTCTTAAACTAAAGGTAGGATGAAGTTTTAAGGTTTACTACGAACCTAGATTCTACATTGCGAGATTGTAAGGGATTCTCCTTTCTTGCCTCTCGACTGGGTAGGTATATATCTACCAGTCATTCGGTTTTCCCCACGTATGCACATTGTAGACACAGGTAAGTTGACCGCGTTTTCATATCATGGACAGCTGCTGGCATCTAATGAAGACACGGTTCCGCACCTCGCAGCTAGGATTCACAACCAGCTGATGCACATAGATTCTCTGATAAATACTGAGTGCAAGTTCTATTTTGACTTCGACAAGATTTGTTGCATAATAAACAGATTATCTCATTGATCCTCTCGCTAGTCAGACTAAAACCCCATTGAAAACATATCGGGCATTTTGCATGTCTTAATAAATTCCCCACAGATACATCCAACAAATACAACTCAATTATAGACAGTCCTGGAACCTGCCATGGAATGACACCCCGTTGCTGAGCTGTTACAATTCAGACAAATGGAAAGAGATAACGGTTGTCTTTAAATAAATTTTGGTGGTTTTAATTTATTTGCTACTTGACTATTTTCCGCATTAAGTAATTCTGAATATGTAAAGAATAATTGAAAATTAAAAACATGAATTATGCCTAAAAATTGTTCCACAAATTCCAACGTCTTCCCGAGTAATCTACATTAAAAATTTGGATGAAATAGGTTAAGTGATTTTGTCAAGTGTTATTCACAGTCTGGCTAATACATTTATAATAATAATAATAATTATTATTATTATTATTATTATTTTCTTTGATTTCTGGCGTTTACACATTTCTTTCCGGGTCACGCCCAGGGACCTAAGGTTAGAAATGGCGTCATGACACTTTCCACTGACAAAAAAAAAAAAAAAAGAAATTACATCGATAAAGCCCTTCGTAAAGTGTGGGCTGTACTTGTCAGAACCATACTTCTCCATATTTGGTATGTTTGATTGGTGGTGTTCTTTAGGGGGTTTTCGAGTGCAGTGAAGAAGGATGTCATGACTTGTCGATACTCTTCGCGGCTCCATTTCGTTCGTTTACTTTTTATTAGTCGATTTGGTATTGAGTCACTTGGTCCAAGGTTGGCAATAATCCGGGTTTGCTGACCTAGTGTCTCTTTGTGTGTGGAAGAGTTTGTTCCAGTGACAGACTTTTCGTCCTCAGACTGGTTCCTCTCTGAGGGACATGGCCCTTGTTGTCCCGGTTGACGGCCGATCCGGTATGAAATATTATTCGTATTCCTTGAAATTGGTAGAGATGCGTTTTAACCTTGACCCCCAAGGGGTAATTATGTCCAGGTTACCAGTTTTAGGACGAGTCTCGAAGAAGATCCAAGAGCACGCCCAAACAATGAGATTGTGGATTTATTATCATTATTATTATTATTATTATTATTATTATTATTATTATTAATAATAATAATATTTTAAATAATAATAGAAATTATAAAATATATATAATATTCGTTTCCTAAAATATTGAAATTAGAGATTTTTTTTAGATATGTTCTTATAAGAAGCAAGATGGAATTTACAAAATAAATCTTTCCAGAATAAAAAAGGTTATATAATTAAAGAAATTTATATGTCTCTGTCAGAGAGTTTCTAGAAAGAAAGGAAAAAAGAAAAAGAAAAAATTACTAGGTAACTTTCAAGTTATAACTTGAAAGTAAGAGGAGTGAATGAATTAAATGAATAAAAAGAATAATAAATTTATAGAATAACATAAAAATAAAAAAAAAATTGCAATAAAGAATGAATGAAAAAGAAAAGAGAATTCTATAAGATAAAGAAACAAAAGAAATAATTAATTAATGTTAAAGTCCTTAAAAAAGAAAGAAAATAAATGAATGGATGAAAAACAAAAGGAAAGCTATTAAAGAAAGAATAAAGAAAAGGAATAAATAAAGGCAAAATATTAAAGGAAGGAAAATGAATGAATTAATTAATCTGTTCAGAAAGAATAACATAAATGAATGAAAATTAATTAAAATAAAGTTAAACTGCTAAAAAGAAAGAAAAAGAATGAAAATGAATGAAATTAATGAACAAAAAGAAAGTTAAAGAAAAAAAGGAATGACTGAGTGAATGAATAAATGATATGAAAGATAGAGTGCCAGGAAGAAAGAAAAAGAAAGAAAGAATGCGGCAGCATACCTTAAATAAACAAAAGTTAAAAGAGGGCAAAGCACAAAAAAATGGATGATCAATACTGAGAGCTAAATGACAAATAAATTTGAGCAAATAGATCCAGTAGGATCGGGGAGTGAATACCGAAATAAAAGTTAAAGCAAAACATCAATTTAAGGGAAATGCAACTGTGTCTGATCTGTTGACGCAGGCAAAGCAGACTGAAATAATTACAAAGATCACACTGTGACATGTGCATTTTTGTCCAGCCGCGCATGCGTAGAAAATCAGCTATATACCCTCATAAATGTCCGAAATCTGGTCATATATTCAATGTCGGTTGTCGATGTTAGTTCAAATCTTCGCTCTGTATAAACATATATGAAGACGTGCACGCTCGGCTGAGTCGAACATTTCTTGTTGCAACCTGCTGAAACGTGCGATCATTTTCCCGTCCAATGTGCTTGGAAGCCATCAATAAAAAACGAGGATAGTTAATGAAATGAATTTGTGGCGCGGAATCAGTCGGCTAAGATATACACATTTATTTGTAAAATTTATCTCATAAGTAATTGCTGTGTTTCAACTAATAACTGATTGTTGCTTAGACAGTTCTCATAGATCAGCTGTTATAGGTATTTGCCGTGCTTAAATTAGTTGGCAACAAGATAGGGGCACTCAGTGCAAACTGGGCTCACTACTCCAACAACAGAGCTCTAGATTGCATTGTAGTCATTATTTACTGAATTTTATTTTACTCTGGAAAAAAACGACTATATTTGGGTATCCATTAGGAATGACACTTGATAAACTACAGATTTGTTTTGAAACAGAAACATCCTTGCCTTCAAGCAAAAAAAGAACCCATAAGACTTAGATTAGTACAAGAGCGAAGTAGTGAGGAAACCATTCACTATTTTAGCAATAGTCACTACACTCTGTCAGGTTGTATTATGCGTGTTTTCAAAATAACCGATTTTGGCAAGATTTTTGAAATATAATTTATACATACACACACGCACACACAAACAATAATGTATATATATATATATATATATAAAGAGAGAGAGAAAGAGAGAGAGACACGCACACAAAACACACACACGCACACACACACGCACACACACACACACATATATATATATACATATATATTTATATATATATATATATGCGAATTTATGTGTATATATATATATATATATATATATATATGCGAATTTATGTGTATAGATAAATATATGAACTTCAGCTTATCCGTTTTTAATTGATAATTTAACTGTTTGTAAACAAAAGTTGATTCTAGATTTTAAAAATCTTCCAAAAATAAACTAGACTTTTCTGAAACTTTATTTGAGGGATATTAGCTGATTTAAAGTTTAACTAATCGGATTTGAAAAAATATTATTTACTTTAAGTTTAAAAAAACAGAGAAATGGATTTTAAAAACAAACGTTAGCGGTGATTATGCACTTATCACCGTCGCTTGTCACTCTTAGATTACTTGTCAGGCCGTAATAAAATCTTTTGACATCTTTACTGTTGTTCTATGGAAAATTTATCCGTTAAAACATAATTTAAGAAAATGACGGGTGAGCGGCTTTTTATATAATTTTTAAGTACTCAGTAATCTTAAAAATGTTGGAAAATATTCTCCGTAATCTAATTTTAGGAATGTTGAATATAAATTTACTATAGTCATTGCTCTTATTTTCTGATTATGTCGTGTATGGTCGACCATACTTTCAAATAGGGAAAGTTGCGTAATATTTTATACACATAAATTTTTTTTTTTAAAATGTTGGGAATAAACGAATTTTATTGAGCTTTTCAATTTTTGATTCGTAAATAGTTTTCATTTAATAATAAATTTTGAGATTGTAATTTAATTTCGCGAAATTTCATGAAATTAAGTAAGTGGTGGGTACGATATGTAAAATATTTTTTTACCAAGATTTTCTAAAAAAAAAATCAAAAATAATTTCATTCATTTGTGAATAAGTCCTAAACGTTTCAATTAAATCCAACAATTATTTGATTTTTGCAAGAATTTCCAAATCAATTTTTTTCATCTGAAAAAAGGCGCAAATACACTAATCGTAAATATTATGTTGACCGCTTACACAAAAAAAAAGAAAAAAAAAGATTTTTAACCAAAATATCGAAATTCCAAGAAACGATTAAAAAATTTAATCAAATATTTAAAAATATTTTGGTTATTCCTCTTAATAATAACATAAGAATGTTAACGGTGACAGTTTGTTTTTATTATGCCTTTGTCATCATGCTATGATATTTATTCAGCAAGCAAGTGGAGGTACCTAGATAAAGAGGGTATTATTCCAAGGAAATGATTCTTCATATTCCGTAGACTATTTCCCAATTAACGAATGCTTTATTCGTCAGTCATGAAGTATTCTATAACAAAAAACGTGTTTTTCAGAAGAAGCGGATGTATATTTCATCTGTGTTGAAAGGTACATGTTCTTTAAGAAGACTTTCTAGTATAAATAAATATCAAAAAAGGAATGGATATGTTGGGAAAATAGGTACAGGATTTCTTAAAAGTATTTTCATTGATAAATTTAGAGCTACAGTGGATGAACCTGAAGTTCTGGCAAGAGTCTGGATCCTCCATGGAAATATGTAACAATATTTAATATGGCGTACGGACAAAAAGGGTTAAAACGGACGAAAAGGGTTAAAACAAAACAATTTTAAATTTTTGGCAGAAAGAGAATTATTTTCCCAGGATATGGGAACAGATGTATGAATTTTGTTGAAATAGTTAAACAGTGCAGTTCGGCGGACAGGTGCAAGATCAGAGGCAGAGGTTAAGGTCGGCTGTTGAAAGATGTCCAGCTTGACTACGTGCTGAGAAATTTTAGCTGACAAATTTCCCTAAGAAAGAAAAAATTAAGAATTATAATTGCAAACAGAACAAAGGCAGGAGATGACGTCAGAAAAGCTGACATCATATAATGGCTCCTCTCGAAAATTGGAAATGTGAAATAGAAAACGAAAGAAAACGACTGGTTGAATTTTGGGAGAAATGCATAAAACCCACTTATTCGCCTGCACCACACCAGTTGAAAAGGACATCCATAAATACAAGTGCCAAAGTGGGCCAAAGTTAGTTGGGGCCAGCCAGTCGGAGGAGTTGGAGTTAGTTGCCGTTGGAGTTACAGTCGGAGGCGGTCGGAGGAGTTAAGAGATTTCTGATATAACGCTGCTTGCCAACCTGATGAAGATAATAATAATAATTATCTGCTGATGAAGAAAAACTCCGACGAATAACCTTGTGTCGTCCGTGAAAGTACAAACCGCAGTACTTTGAAGTTGAAGAAAAACTCCGACGAATAACCTTGTGCCATCCGTGAAAGTACAAATCACAGTACTTGAAGATTCTTCAAAGAAGCTACCCGCAATTTTCATTCCGTCGCCAGTTATTAGAACGGGTTGGGAAAAGAAGAAAAAGAACAAAGAAAGAACTGTAAATATTTATTTTTTTTATTCTGATATAAACATCATATCGTGACTTATTCGGGCGTCGTCCATTTTATTTTTCAATTTTGTATGCACGTGTTCAACTCCTTGGTTTAGCGTGGTTAGGATACCGCTGTGGAAATTCGGCTTGACCCTCTTGATATCAAAATCACAACGTGGGTAAGAGAGATCACAATTGAAGAGGTCAACTTTGAGACCAGCTGCTCTGTCAAACGCCATCAACGACCGACGAGTGGGCTGACGGTTTGTTCTCTGATACCGGGATCGATCCTGACCAAGCGGGAAAATCGGGATTGACCCTTAGTACCGCCATACGTGGTGACCGAAGAGACCGGACCCGGAACGCTGTCTTATAATTGGTCGCTGCGGGCGGGCTGCAGCTCCAGGAAGACGACATAAATTGGTGCTGTGACCAGGCCGTTGCCCGGGACACCGTCATAAATAGATAACCAATATAATGAGGTGGAGTAATGTTTTAGGATAATATTGTAGGCGTAAAAATTATAGGTTTATTCAAACTTTATGACGATGTCAAGATAAATGTTGAAAATTCTTCAAATTTTTTGCAAAAGACACTTTTGTGTGGTACAGGTCACAACCAAGAAACTTTAAACTAAAGGGTTTATTCATGCAGGAAATCAGTTTATCTATTTCTAATATAAATTATTATGTGCGATAACGGATAAATCAGTGATAAAATACAAGAAATTCCAACAAACAGATCAATCTGTTCATCAGTAGTATTGATTCACATATCTACATTGATTATATCTACAAAGAGCTACGACTAATATTCTACACCTATTTTCCTTAAATATAACATACACACACACACACACACACACACATATATATATATATATATATATATATATATATATATATATATATATATATATATATATATATGATGTCAAATGAGTCGGGTTCCGATCCCGGCTTGAAGCAATCGGACGTTTAGCCACACTGAGGAGCTGTGATACAGCGAAACCGTCTGTCTGGGATGACTATATATATATATATATATATATATATATATATATATATATATATATATATATGAATATTAAGAATTTAAGAAATCATTCTAAGCGACGGACATAATGAACATAAGTATTTTATTCTGTTTTGTAGTGTTTTATATCTTTCCTTTTATGATGACTAAAAAATGTGTATAAACTGTCCATAACGATTTGTGTTCTAATACAACAATCACTACGAATAGTTTGCACATATATATGTGCGTGGGCGTGTGTGTGTGTGTGTGTGTGTGTCAGGGCGCCGAAAAGAACTTCGTCCAATCAAAATGAAATTTTGAAAAACATCTGATTTTTTAAGTGCAATAGATGATAATTTTTCAGCATATATATATATATATATATATATATATATATATATATATATATATATATATATATATATATTTATTCAATAAGCGTTATTTTTAGTAGATACCCATATTTGAGTAGACGCTCCGTTTATTAGACTCTCAGTATATTAATTTACGTTCGTCTACTGGACTGAATCTTCACGAAAAATATATCAACTAAATATAACGTTCAGGTAATAAAACCTGACGGATTAATAAATAAAAATCCACTACTTCCCTAGAAACGTATATATATATATATATATATATATATATATATATATATATATATATATATATATATATATGTGTGTGTGTGTGTGTGTATATATATATATATATATATATATTTATATATATATATATATATATATATATATATATATATATATATATATATATATATATATATATATATATATATATATATATATATATATATATATATATATATATATATATATATATATATATATATATATATATATATATATATATATATATATATATATATATATATATATGCCTGGTTAATGTTCGTTACCTTGTTTCACATTGTTGCCGCTAGACACTAACAAATATCAGCAGCCGTAATCAGTGTCACGTCATTCAATAACCGGATATTAACAGCATTTTTTCTCTTGTTTTCATCACCATAAATGTCTGATTAAGTTCTATTAATTTTCCTGCAAACGTCGCTATTAATAATAATAATAATAATAATAATAATAATAATAATAATAATAATACATTTGGATGACTGGAGATTTGCTTAAAACAAGATATTGTAATAAATAATAAAAACAAAAACGCCTCCCAAGATGTCTGAAGTATTATAGATTAAAACACGAAAGAAAAATATTCTTTCAAAGTAGTTGTAACACTTACGTGTGGATGAAACTTCGTAGCACAGTACATTCAGCATTAATTTCGAAAATTATAATTTGGTTTTTATATAATGCTAATTAGATATTTCCTGAAAAGAATCTGACAGGACAAAAAATCTGCTTTGAAAAATATTTGTACCCTTTCTATAATGTAGAATTAGCCATGTTTAAATCCTGTTTTAAACAGCTTAAGACTTGATAATTAAGTACGTTCTCCAAGTAGAAACATATTCATGTTCACATTCACGAGCAAACAAAGATGTATAAATGTATGATTAGAGTCTGCTAAGCTTGAGTTACTCCAATCCTCAGCTGGGAAAGTAGAATCGGCGAGCTGAGTTCAAATTCTCTGTTAGTCGGTTCCGTTTATTTTCGCGCAAACGCACTTGATAATGGCATGAAGCCATCTCGTCTCCTCCCCCGTCGCCCTCCAACACTAACGCAAACAGCTGTGAGCTAAATAGCTGTGAGACTGGGATTTTGCACCTTGGGTGGCAGCCAATCTTGAAGAATGGCAACTTTGAATTCGAAACTACCCAAAAAGAAACAGGAGATCTCTGTACCATTATCTTTACCAAGAAACCATGGCAATTCACAGATAATATAGAAACGTAATCTGTGGAGATCTATAATTGCCTACATCCTGAAGAAACATGGAATTAAAAAATGGGGTAACAGCTATGGGAGATTGATTTTCCAACTGTTCAATCATGGAAGCTTTTAGGCCATATCATGTTGAAACACCGGTTCTCGTCCAATCTCTGAAGTTAAACAATGTCGAGTCTGGTCATATGGGTGACCACTTGGGAATACCAGATATTTTAAGCTTGGTTGTGCGGGTTGTGTAATGGATAACGACTCGGAATGAGGAATTGGAGAGCAGATTTCGAATTCTAGTCCGAGTTCGTTATATTCACTTACGCGCAAGTACCCTTAGGAAAAGATATGCAACCAATCATTCTCCTCAAGCTATGGATAAAAGAGTAGGACTTTGTTTCTGAAAATTATTATCTTCCAAAAATTTTTAATGCAATAGTCATTCGCAAAAAGAAATAATTATTCTTGCAATCCTAAAATATGTTTCGGCTTTTTAATAACCTACAAAATGGTGATAGACCGTTTGAAGCAAATCAAGCAATCATGGAAAGACTTGAGACTGTCAAAAAAATTTGTTCTCAAAATTTTTCATATATATGTGTGTGTTGTTCAAGCTAGTACATTATACTTGAATGAAATTTTAAACTATTTTTTTTGCTAAAAGATATTGCTAGAAGCAGCTGTAATTAAATTTAGATAATGATTTCTTTACATCTTAATACTTAGATTGTTATTTTTAATATTGTTATAAATTTAGTGAAATAATGTATTTTCATTGTTTATGTTTCTTCTCTAATGCTTATATTTTTATTAAGTGATCTATATTATTGTCTACATTGCTGGTTTTTGGTACATTTTTACTTTTAAAACTTGAATTCTACTTTTCCAGTGCCGTGTGTTTGCTGTATTAAGCTTAAGGTTGGTTCAATACTTGTCTCATCTAACCTAAAAAGGACATTTTATTCCCTGTTTGCTTTTAAACTAAATGCTTTGGTTGCTTATTCAATTCTTGTTTTGTATCTTGTCTTATTCAATGATGTTTTGTATATACTTAATAAATTTATGAATGTATTATTTAGCCAGTCTGTTTTTTTATTTATTTATTTTTTTGTTTTGTTTTGCTTTTTTTAAAAAGTAACAGAAACAACAATGAAGATCAGGAAATTAGCATGAAGAGATGATAGTGTATCAATGTAATAAAACTTATTATAAACTACTTATTCTTTGTATTTCAAATGTAATTATAGTGTGATCATAATCTGTTTGATAAAAAAAAGGTTTACTTTAAACAAAGTCTAAAATCATTTTTCTCCCTAATCGTAAAATTAGAGCAGCAGAATAGGGTTTATAAGCTACAAATTTGTTTTGATAAGCTTTGATAATTGTCTCAACATTTAACATGTCAAATCCGTTTTTCACTAATAATTTATACCCAAGTTACCCGAAAGTAAGTCTTAATAATTCAGAAACACATCAGAAAAAAAGCTATTATTTAACGAGTTAATTTTGGTTCAATCCACACAGATAGAATTTTATATTATTGCCGGAGCCTGATCAGGTAGTTTAATACTTATATCGACTTGAACAACCACTTAGATAAATGTCAGTATCTTACAAAATTTAGTTTAGTAAATTAAATAACCAGCTAGTGGGAAAGAGATGAGAATGACTGTGATGTACCAAATAGGAAAGGCATGTCTATAAAATTACCTCCGAAATCATGGCTTTTACATGGACTCCAACACCGACCTTTGGCGTAAAGTGAGCAATTTATGCGAATAAGTCAGAAATAAACTGTAAATGTTATTATTTTAAAAGGATTGTTTTAGCGTCAAAACGATCTCTGTTTTCGCTGGCAGCAATTAGCGCAAGGCGAAAGAATCGCTTAAGAGACATGCGAGATAAAACAAAAAAAAAAGAAGCAAATTTCAATGTAATTTCCACAAAAATTGGTGACACGTTAAGGAGAGTAGAAGAGACGCTGTATCTTGGCACAAAATGTTCTTCTACGAAAGTTTATCCTACCTTTTACCTTTCTATCTTATCCTCTCCCTGCATAAATACATGTGTATGCACGCACACAAACATTCAGTCAGAGGCAGTGTAGAGTAATTAAAGGCTGACAGATTGCAAGTGAAAATCATGTCAGAGATTCGAAGCCATACATACAAGAAGAATATTTTCATTAACATCATGAGAAAGAGAGACACGTGGGTTTGGGCGAGAGAGTTGATTCTTCCGCCTTCTGTGACACCATTCAGTACACCTTAGGGCTTCCTGGCTCACACGTCTCAAATACAAGCAATTTCTGAAGCCCACGATAAGCAAAGCATCAGAAAGCACACGATAAAACAGACAATAAAATATCACATTTCTCTTATTTCTCCTTTTCTATAAGAGAATCAAATAGAAAAAAAAAGTAAAGCAAGAATCTGAGAAAACGGATGTGACAAAACAAAATAAGAGGCAAATCTGTTACTTTTGCATATCCTGTCTTTAAATAAATTGAACGTCTAATCTGCTAACGATTTAAGGAAGAAGGTTCTATTTGGGAATATTGGATCATTATTTTATGAAGTTTTTTTT